GGGAGGAGGAGGCCAGTGCAGGTGCATCTGGGCATCAGGTCCTGGTGAACCCAGAGGCAGTGAAATTCTGTCTTCCTGCCTGGGCCAGACGCCACTGTGTGTGTCCAGGCACAGAGCATAACCTCTCTGAGCCCAGGTCCCTCTGTGTAAAACAGGTGTGGGAGTAATACCATCACCGCCCCACCACCCCTTGTGTAATGGGACTGCCCTCGTGGGGGATGCCAGCAGGACTAGACGTCTTTGTCTATACTGGAAGGGACTTGCAGGAGTTGGTGGGAAAATGGGATTGGTAGGGAATGGGGTTTTTCCAGGAACTTTCTTGGAAGCCCCCTTGTACCCGTGGGAGGAAGACAGGCTTACATCATGATGAGGCACAGGGAGAAAGAGTGTTATACAGTCTGATGAATTCACAGGGGTGGTTCTACCCATTCCCATGGGGTCCCTGTGAGTCAGCTTGGGGGTGAGTTGTAACCATAGATAAATAAAGGGCTTAGAGCAGGGCTGGGCAGAGTGCCAAAGCTTGCCCTGATGTCGGCTCTCCCAGTGGGTGCAGAGCCCTGCACAGGATGAGGGGCGGAGGCGAGGAAGGGCCTGGCTCCTGCTGGATGCCAGGGGGCCCAGCAGGCGGCAGCACTGAGCGCCAGCCCCGCCGGGACGTGTGTCCCTGGGTGCCCAGCTCCCTCTCCTAGGGTCTTGGTTTTCAATGAAAGGGCTCCATCCTTTGGTCATCACACAGAAACAGAAAGGGCCGGCTCGCTCCCCTGGTGGGGCTTCTAAGGGGTGGGGGCAAGTCAGAGAGGCAGTCCTTCCTGCAGAGTGGGACACGGAGCAGTGAGAAGGAGACCGGACTGGTGGAGGGCTGGACCAGAGGGCCAGTAGGAGGGATGTGAGTGAGACCCGATACCTAACTCACTTCCCATGCAGATGATCAGGGAAGCCCTAGGCGCTCGTCCTTGCCCTGCCTGCTGTCCTGTGGAGTCCCCGTGAGTGGCAACCCTGGGGAGAGGGGTGGGTGAGGACAGACATGGCAGGAGCTATCTGTGGGCAGGGCTCCAGAGGGCAGGGCCACATGAGTGGCTGTCTTTCCGGGTCTACTGAGGAGCTTTCTAAGGGACTGCATGGGCCAGCTCACTTGCCCTGACTCCGGGGTGGAGTGGGGACTTGTGTCACCAGCCTAGCCCAAGTTCCTTCAGTCCTGGAAGCTTGGATGGACGTTCCAGGGCCCAGGAGAACACCCGATTGAAACCATCACCCTCACCCTGGCACTTTAAACGTGAGACCACTAGCTCTGAGTGCCAGTGTGTGATGTCCGGGCCAGCTCCCTACATTGACTCGGCTCTGGGTCTGGGCACAGGCTGAGAGAGAGGCAGACAGGACCCGCAGCCGCCTGGCGGGGGCTCTTTTTGGTGGCTGCATTCCCTGGCAACGTCTTAGCTGCCTGGAGCCCTCTGGAACTCTGGTCGGGGCTCTGTGCAG